GGTTGTTTGTTGTTTAACGCCGCACTCAGCAATATTCCAGCTATATGACGGCGGTCTGTAAATAATCGAGTCAGGACCAGACAATCAAGTGATTGACATCATGAACATCGATCCATGCAATTGGGATCGATGACATGAATCAACCAAGTCAGCGCACCTGACCACCCGATCCCGTTAGTCGCCTTTTAAGCTTACGACAAGCATAGTGGCCTTTTACGGCAAGCATGGGTCGGTGATGACCTATTCTACCCCGGATCTTCACAGGTCGACGAGGATTGTAGTCCCTATTGTCAGTAGATAGTTTAAACATAATCATATTTGACTGAAAATTAGGATCGATAAATAAGACATTGCTTATTTTAATATCAATCGCTTATCAAAATCAAGGTCTGAGGTCTGAGGAATTGACTGTGAGACTGTAATCACTGCCAGCGATATTTTGGTTTTGGGATAATTGAGTGAGTGAGTGAGTTGGGTTTAACGCCGCTTTTAACAGTATTCCAGTTATATCACGGCGTGTCAGCTTAATGTGGGAGGAAAGCCCGAAGTGATGCAGGTCTCAGACGTTTACCACTTCGGTGAAACCCACGAGCACGGGTATGGTGCTGACAAACCTAGAAACATAATCGGGGCGAACCGGGATTCGAAGCCACAGTCATAGGTTTCTGGCGTGCCCGAGGGACGCAACTCTGCACAGCGAATCGCGGCGCCTTAGACGACTGAGCCACCCGGTTTTGGGATAAGGTTGCAGAGATAAGCTGGTGCACGTGCGAAATTATTTGCCATTTTTGTCAGTGAATGCGATATAACAGACATATAGCGGCTTTAAACAAAATTCACGTACTTTAAAACCGCGCAGGTTGTCTATTCGAAAACTGCGGTAGTCGTATTACTCTGCTGCTCTCTATAAGCGATTTTGTTGTTGTTGTTGTTGTTGTTGTTTGTTGTTTAACGCCGCACTCAGCAATATTCCAGCTATATGACGGCGGTCTGTAAAATAATCGAGTCTGGGCCAGACAATCCAGTGTTTGACATCATGAGCATCAATCCAGGCAATTGGGATACGTTGACATGCATCAACCAAGTCAGCGAGCCTGACGAACCGATCCCGTTAGTCGCCTTTTACGACAAGCATAGTCACCTTTCACGGCAAGCATGGGTTGCTGAGGACCTATTCTATCCCGGCATCTTCACGGGTCTATAAGCGATTTTGATATTGACTTGTAGCAACGAAGAGTTGGGGGCTGTTCCATTGTGTTTTCTCCAAAACTGCTTCGCACGTTACATGCCTCAGCAAAGTGCATGCATCTCGATCTAACGACAAATAGAACACGATTCACTTCCCAAGACACTTGCCTTCAAATACGCGTACTCACATGTTAGATCGTGAAACAATATATTTACTTATCGAGTTGGAAACGGGCATGGACAGGAAAAGAAGCGAGCCTGCACCAACTCGCCAGTCCCACAGTAATGTACACTGAGTATGCATATATAAAGTAATCGATCAACAGAATTCACATGCATACCAATTACGGTATACGAAATGTAATCCCATGTGACGCCTAATCATGATTATGGAAATATAACTGGTTGCTTTCTGGAAAGGAACACTTGTTCACATGAACTCGGGTACAGTAAACTACGGTTATAACGAACTCAAAGGGACTACTAATTTTAGTTCGCTATAACCGTGATTCGTTATAAGCATATATACATCATAACTACAGCATATAGTCGGGACAAAAAAGTTAGTTCGTTATATCCGTTAGTTCGTTATAAGCGTGTTCGTTATAACCGTAGTTTACTGTATTTAGTATGGAGGACATGGGGCACCAGGGTTGGCGTGTAATATGGAGCATGAATAACAGTTTGAAACGAATGGTAGACCCACTGGTAGACCGAATGGTTTAAGAGAGGCGTCACGTTACGTTCAGACCTTTCAGGGGCTGTAGGGTAGCCTTGTTGTTAAACTGTTCGCGCGTTACGCCGAAGACCCGGGTTCTATTCTAATCACTGAAGTGATTCTGGTATTAGACGTGTACCTCTTTCATAAAACCCACAGGACGTGCATGGTGCTGATAAAATAAATAAATCAGAACGAACCGGGATTTGAACCACTATCCTTGGTTTCTGGCACGTCTAATTAGGGACTACACTCTGCAACGTGTTTTCATCGTCTTCTTATACATTTGAAGGCGTCTACGTGAATTTAGAAAGCCACGAAACAGTTGCGATTTCTAAAAACGATGCGTCGGTGCGTACGCATTGTACCCCAAGGGTAACCCCTGTTGCATATATAGAGGACGACCAGCGTGTTTAACACCCGGGGGCACGTGTGGCCCAGTCGTCTAGGGCGCCGCGATTCGCTGTGCAGAGTTGCGTCCCTTTGACACGCCAGAAACCTGTGATTGTGGCTTCGAATCCCGGTTCGCCCCGATTATGTTTCTAGGTTTGTCAGCACCATACCCGTGCTCGTGGGTTTCACCGAAGTGGTAAACGTCTGAGACCTGCATCACTTCGGGCTTTCCTCCCACATTAAGCTGACACGCCGTGATATAACTGGAATAATGTTAAAGGCGGCGTTAAACCCAATGCACGCAAGCACGCACGCACGCACGCACGCACGCACGCACGCACGCACGCACGCACGCAGACACGCACGCACGCACGCACGCACGCACGCACGCTCTCACGCACTCACTCACTTACTCACAAACACCCATCTGACCTGCATTACAATGTTCCGGAATACAGGTGCTGTAGACGAACAGATATAATTGATTTATTTCTCTGTGTGCACAAAGACTGTTCGATATTTTCAACAGCTTGCTATTGATCTAGACAGTGGGCGGCATGGGTCTGCCGCTTTCATGCTGGTCGCCTCGTGTACGTACCGATAGATGACGGTTTACGACTTCATGATAATTTACCTGCAGCGCGTGAGATTGACAAATGCTACAACAGCTGGGTTTTTTAACCAGTCAGTATCATGTTGTTCTCACCGAATAATATCAATTTTGATCTAGCATGACTCAGAAACCACTTTCAGGGGTGTTTGATCATGATCGCATTCTAAATTTATATCTTTATACCCTGATCCAATTTATATTCTGGCGGCTCGACCAGCACGCGCGCATGTGTATCTTTGTGTGCGCGGCCGCGCGTGTGTGTTTCTGTTTCTGTGTGTGTGAGTGTGTGTGTGTGTGTTTCTGTTTCTGTGTGTGAGTGTGTGTGAGTGTGTGTGTGTGTGTGTGTGTGTGTGAGTGTGTGTGTGTTTCTGTTTCTGTGTGTGAGTGTGTTTGAGTGTGAGTGTGTGTGTGTGTGTGAGTGTGTGAGTGTGTGTGTGTGTGTGTTTCTGTTTGTGTATTGCTCTCTGCATGTCTGTCTCTGTCTATTAGTGTGTCTGCGTGCGTGTTTGTGGCTGTCTGGCTGTCTGTCTTTCTGTCGCTCTGTGTGCGGTTTGTATGTATCTGTCTTTTTTCTGTGTGTATGTCTGTCTTTCTGCGCGTACGTGCGTGCGTGCGTGCGTGTGTGAGTGACGATATTTTTTCGGTCATTGATTCAAGACATATTATAATTTATTTCTGTATATTTTAGAATCGTTTGTTTACTCGTTTTTTTGCATGAGTTTGTAGCGGACGTACGTGCGTGCGTGCGTGCGTGCGTGCGTGCGTGCGTGCGTGCGTGCGTGCGTGCGTGCGTGCGTGCGTGCGTGCGTGTGTGTGTGTGTGACGATATTATTTCGGTAATTGATTCAAGACATATTATAATTTATTTCTGTATATTTTAGAATCGTTTGTTTTCTCGGTTTTTTGCATGAGTTTGTGGCGGATGCCACCGGTAGGGTAGGTTACACTTACATTGTCGCGAACACCTGGTATCATCACACTACGATAGTGAGTCATAAACACATGCATATGATATAGTCGGAACTATTGTTTTTTGGCTTTTATTAAGATGTGTTTATACGTGTGGCGGTGTGACGAGTGTACGACTTAATCACTCTCATATTTTCTTAATTGTATTGAATGGATTTGTTGGTTTGTTTATTTGTTGCATAAGGCCGCCCTGAGCAATAATACAGCTATATGACGGCGGTCTGTAAATAATCGAGTCTGGACCAGACAATCCAGTGACTGACATCACGAGCATCGATCCACACAAATGGGATACGATGACATGCATCAACCAAGTCGGCGAGCCTGTCCAACCGATCCCGTTTGTCGCCTCTTACGACAAGCATAGTCGCCTTTTACGGCAAGCATGGGTTGCTGAAGACCTATTCTACCCCGGATCATCACGTGAATGGAAAGCATATTCATAAAGTGGTTTGCCCTCCGTCATGTGCTAGTCCTAGGGGGTGTTCCGGAGTTCGATCCCCGCGAGGTAGAAAAGGTGAACTCTTGGAATGTCAAATACATTTTGTATGTGCTTTCATGCCCTGGCTGTGTTCCTTGTTCATTAGTTCACAAAACACTCTGATGTCCGTGAATGTGTTCATCCGTACAAGCTTTGGAATTAAAACGAACATTATATATTAGTTTTCCTGGCGCAAAGTCTCTGTTATTGATCAATAAACAAATCGACAACAAATATTTGTCATAATTTAAATTTCCATTACAGCCAATCATCTTTTAATGACACAAGTAAAATACAAACAATGTTTTTTAATCATATATGTTCAACAGGTCCAGTCAATCGATCTCTTTGTCGTTATAAACGTTTTCAATTGTGTTCACCTCAAATCGAAGCCGCAATTTAACCATACACTAACAAATGAATATATTAATCGATTTCATGAACAGTTTGAACACTTGCAGTCCCAGAGGACGTATCGATACAATCGATAACTTACACTCCCAATCTTACCGACTACAATTGTTATTGGAGTGCGTGTTACGTTCTTCAGCAGCAACGTTACTCGAGCACATGACGTGACGGCGTTCAATACCTGCAACCTGTTGCCGTTATTGTTGGGTTTGTGACAGGATCGACTATCTAGTCGCTAGTTATTGCTCTGTACAGCTGCACGCAGCCAATGTATGTAGGATCATGAAAAGAACCGTCATATGTCTCTGTATTCATGTAGGCGATATCACTCAGTCCGCGCTGTCAGAACGGTTTAACGTCAACATTGTGTATGGCTAATTGAATATAGTCCTGGCTCCTTCACCATCAGATAACAGCAGAAAACAACAGAAAACAGCAGATAAGTACGGTGAGTAATAGATACATTGCATATAGCTTTGGGTGATGGATCTTTTCTTATATTAATACTTAAAATCCACGACACCGAATTTATTAACATGAAAGAGATGAATATGTAGTTCCGATACTGTGATATGAACTACACAACAAAATCGGACACTATGTATTCGTTGACCTACAAATTAGGAATGGTTGCTATACTAAAAGGGGCTTCCTTGTCAGAAGTACGTACGAAGTATGAGGAAATTAATTTTAATAGTACGTACTACGTGTACTGCTGCTTCTCAGGTAACGTTCCAAGGCTACTGGTGTGGCTGTGTGGTGGTGTTGTGATCATGACTTAACGCATAATTCTTTCATTCTCCTTCTTTTCTTTCTAAAACCGTGTCGGTTAATTAGTTCTCTCAGTCGGTTGATGTTAGTGATGGGGCGGTAGAGTAGCCAAGTGGTTAATGCCTTTGCTCGCCATGCCCCGAGTTCGTTTCCGCACATGGGTAGTGTGTGAACCCTTTCTGTGTGTTTCCCTTGTGTAGCTTTAATAAAGGTGTAAAAATTAACCTCACTCACTTCCTAACTCACTCACTCACTCACTCACTCACTCACTCACTCACTCACTCACTCACTCACTCACTCACTCGCTCGCTCACTCACTCACTCACTCACTTAAACGCCACGTCACCACGCGTGTAGAGAATAAACTGCATGTAAGATACTTGATAATATATGTGCATGACGTGTAATATAATCTCATATGATATTATCAAAATTGAAGGAACAACTGTTGCAACGACATAATATTGCAATATACAGTCATACACACGCTGTATCGTTACGAAATGCACAACGCAGTATGATGTTTTTCACCAGAACACACAAACCCTACACTCGCCCACTCGTGCATATTTGCCACAGAAATGTGATCTCATACTTACGGAGACTCCGAATAAGACTATGCTCGAACATCTGCCACCTAGAAACACACCTTGCGTCCGACTTATTGATCAACTGTAGGGAAGCTATCAAAATCCAAACAAACATTTAATCGTGATGTGTGAGTGGGTACATGTATGGTTCATACGCCGCATTCCGCATTCCGCATTCCGTCAATTTATCGGGAAAATGGCTCCACGCAATGCACTTACATGGGAATCGAACCCGGGTCTTCGACCTGGCAAACAAACGATTATATTGTAATAAAGTGGCTACCCAACCGTCCCTTGATGAGAGGCAACAGAGTTACCAGTTAAGCAGACAAGTCAAAACTGAATAATCGACAGCTTATATGGAATTAGTTTGTGGAAACAAATTGGAGATCCGGTTCAGTAAAACCAAAATTCGTTCAGTTGATATGGATTAGCAGTGTGAATCCAATTGGAGTTAAACTAAGCGTTATCTATTTTTGTCGACAAAATATAAGTCATTTCCAATTCAATATTATGATAATGACGCTTCATACCTTGAACTTACGTCTTAATGCGTAGTGTAACACCACGTTTTGGGGAACCTTTAGCAAAATGATTGGTTGGTTGGTTTGTTGTTTTATGCCGCACTCAGCAATATTCCAGCTGTATGACGGCGGTTAGTAAATTATCGAGTCTGGACCAGACAATCTAGTGATAGATATTATGCGCATCGATCCACGCAATTGGGATCGATGACATGCATCAACCAAGTCAACGCGCCTGACCACCCGATCCCCTTAGTCGCCTCTTACGACAAGCATAGTCGCCTTTTACGGCAAGCATGGGTTGCTGAAGATCTATTCTACCACGGATCTTCTCGGGTCTTCAGCAAAATGAGATCTGATAATGGTGACATGTTCATAAATATGAAGTGAAAAACTTACATAGATTTTGATGAACATCAATTGTGAAAATATCATGATAAGGTCGGAATCGTACGCTTTTCGCGAACACCAGGTGTCATCACTGATTTCACTGGTCCATTCATATAAATTGACAGCTATTTTGCCCTTTACGCCAAATAGAATTTGTTTCGGCGGATAATCAAGACTGGTTATTCTCTCGCATTGACATATTATATTTAATTTACTGGTCGATGTTTCTGTTGTTGGACTGAAGTCCCCGAGTTTCATTATAAGCTCAGTAGCATTTATGCTGAGTCAGCTACAAAAGAAATGTTTGGACCGATACTGCTCCCAAATGTGTTGCAAGACGAATATATTTCTTAAACGTTATTTTTTACTTATAAACAGCAGAATCTCCGCTCTTGTACCCAACAGACGTAATTAAAAAAAATAACATCATGATGTCGTTTGTATTTGTTTCAAGAAAATCAGTATATGCCCTATATCGTGTCACTGGATTTTCTAGTTCATCGATTACTTGGCTGTCGTGTTTGTTTACAGACCGCCGTCGCATGGCGTACAGTCAATACATACTGACTTTTTAGGCAAATTGTGTGAAAGTTGGCTGCCTTTTCGCGAGCACCTTTACGGGTAATGACTGATTTTCAGTGATCCATTCATATTAGTTACATAGCTAATTTGACCCTTACGCCAAGTCGCATCTGTTATAGGGTATTCTCCTACATTGACATGTTATATTGATCGAATATGTGTTGTTTTCTTGTTGCATCTACCACTATTTCTTTATCAGATTAAATAACAAGATGGCTACCGCTGAAAGTGTGAAAGACGATCATTTGACCTGCAGTATCTGTTACCGACCCTTCGCAGAACCGAAGACGCTGCAATGTCTTCATACCTTCTGCCAGGAATGTCTGCAGCATCATATCAACCACGGCAACCACATCCGGGGAATCCCCTGTCCTGTCTGTAGACACGTGACTGTTCCACAAGATTCGTTTCAACCACGTCAGAACTGGGCGAGGCTCATCAAAACAGATTTTAAACTAGCTGGGATATTGGAAGCATTGGGTCAAATGGAGAAAGGTAAAATTGGACTTGTTGATGAATTAACAAAATATTCGCTGGAATCCAAACAAATATGCCGAAATGTAGCAAAAGTATACGGAGAGATTCATTCTTGGGCCGTTCGTGATTCTCAGGAATCTGCCCTGTTTTCTATGGTGGTTGCACCTGATAGTTCTGTAAGACTTAAACTTAGAAAATATGACGCTCTACTAGTATCTACACATGTATTACGATGTAAAAGATTGACATGTGCAACGTCTTGAGCATTTGTCTTTCAGGTAAAAGGGCCCATCCAGATGCTATTGTAGTGACGGGATCGCCAAGTCACTTCAACGATCGTAAATCGCAACTGACAACAATGCTGCAAGTCCTCAGACCTGCTGTAAACTTCATTCAGGTTAAAATTGATACTGAGAAAGAGGGCATTAAGACGATGGGAGATACACGTGCGGAAACCGAGAACGACATTAAATCATATGTTGAGAAACTGATAGAGGACATCAAGCAAAAGGAAAACATCCTAATCAAAGACCTTAACAGTTCGTATGAGATGAAGAAAACGGAAAGTGAGGAAAATGTGAAACGTTTCAAGAAACTCGTTGAGGAAACACAAGATACCATTGGTCTGATTGACCGTCTGTTGTCCCCAGGATCAGAGTATGCTACCATGGAATGCCTCCCCCGAATTCAGAAACAACAGGAAGATGTGATGAAGTTTGTCACCGATCCACCAGTCGATGAGTGCCCCGTTTTGTTTTCATTTCATGGAAATATCACCCACGTTAAGTCCTTAATGAGCAGCCTGGAATTAGGATCGGTATGGTCCAACTCAGAAAGCGATGACATGTATGCCGTTGGAGGCCAGGAGACACGGAAGAACGTCCTACATCAAGAGAAGGTGGTTTCTGCCACAGCGATGCAGAGATACAATGTACCCAACAAACAGGAACCATCAGAACAGGAAGCATCATCAGACAATGGTGCAGACCCTCCAACTAGTCTTCCTGATCCTCCACGCACAGTTGAAGTTCCACCAGAACAACCTTCGAATCCATCCTATGTTCTTGAACGAACAATAAACACAAAACTTGACGAGGACAACTATGACCCAGAGCTCAGGAACATCGTTATTCTCCAGGGCAAAACCTCACCGGTGATAATAATCCTTGACTATGACAATGGAAGTTTGAAATCCTTTTATGAAGTTGATGGTCAGCCCAAACGTAATTCCCATAGATTTAGTGGTTATCCACAATCTATTGCAAAATTGTCAGAGGAAAGAGTCATTGTGAGTCTTATGAACTACAAGTTTTTCGTCTTTACTTCAGACCTTAAGCAAGTGAGCAGCATTGAGAGCGAGAAGTGGTACACGTGCATGACGACCGTGACCACACAGGAGAAGCTCCTCGGCTTTGTCAACACAACGACTACGACGATAATAGGTGGAAGGCATACTGTACTCGATCACTTAACGGTAAAGGGAAAACCATCAAACAAGTTCATAAACACAGCACCAGCAGAGGGAATGTTCGGCGAGGTGTCTCATCTGTGTTCAACGCCAAATAACAACATCATCGTCACCGACTGTACGAAACACGACGTCACCTGCATCTCCATGGAAGGAAGTCTTCTGTGGAGAGTTGAACCACGTGACCAGGAACTTGCCTGTCCAGTTGGAGTTGCCTGTGATTCCAGAGGAGATGTCTTTGTTGTTGACAAAGACAAAAAATGCATTGTGAAGATTTCCGGTGACCAAGGTCAAGTTTTGGGGGATGTTGTCACGAGAGATGCGGGTCTTGAGAACCCGATTGCTCTGGCGTTAGACACTGCTGACAAAATCTACGTCATACAGACAAACGGCGAAATACGCGTGTTTTCGTTATAGGCACAAGAGCGTTCATTAGAAATAGATCCTGACAAATGTAACTGAATCTTTTCCAGTCCTCAGTACCATGACTGTAAGGACAGGTTTTCCCATCGACTTAACTAGTAGTGATAGCAACTGAACAGTATGCGAGACTATATAATTCATTTTTCTGACGAATTCATACATTGGTCTAACTGGCACTAGCAAATCTCAGCATTTTGTAATAATGTTTCAAGGAGCAAGACACCAGTGGACACCAAGGGCATTGGGAGAATATATATGAACTGTCTACATCAACCTTACGTAAAATATTGTATTTTGAGGAAGAGTATTGTCAATTATTCAATTACTTTGCTTTAACAGTGGGGATATATTGTGGGTGTTACTTTACAATCATGGCAACTGTGCCAAATGCATTCTTAATTCTCATTTCCGTCTTTAAAGTGATTTATCTATTTCTCATGGCTTTTTTCAAATGTTTCTGTTGCGTTCTCGGGATTAATACGGTCCCCAGTATAGTAGTTCGTAAAGGACCCCGGCTGCGTCATACCAGAAGACGTTAAAAGATGGTACTTGTTGTTACCCTGCCTGGCGTTCGGCATGATTGGGATAAAATAAGAACTGGTCGGCTCGGAGTCAGTATACTGTATCTGAGTGAGGTATCCATATTAAACGTCGGCATGGTATCTCAATGGGCTATCAGTCCGGTTCAATACAAGAAGCCACACACACACGTCCCTACACATCCATATGTAAGTCCAATAATCGCGACGTTAAACCCAATTTCATCTCACCTGTAATAGCCAAATTTAATTGGGATTGTATAGTTGGCCAGCTGGCTCACTGCCTGTGTCAGTGTTGGACGCGAGAGGGCAATATAACATCTATTATCGCGGCGTGCTGTGAGTAATCGAACCTGGGCTGAAACAGCTGTGATAGCTTGCATACACAAAGACCTGTGTAAAATACCACAGTCAACATGAACTCATGGTTATTTACCTGATTCTCAATTAAAGGGAACTAAATATACAGCCCAAGTCATGTTCATTAGTGTCATTCAATTTGTCGGTCAAATTTATGATGTATATGAATAACCGTCACCCTCAAATCACAAAGACAAGTCCAGGGTGACACGAGGCACTAACGCCTAAACGTCCACTCTAAATTGGTTACAGGTCGGGGATGGTCCTCTTTTAAGTTCAGTAGGCGTGGCACAGTAAACCAAATCCAGAATAGCTGGCGATTAGGTGCCTCACTCTGGCAGTGTGGGTTCGAATCCCGGATCGGACCCAGCCAAGAAAAGGACGAGAATCTGTACTTTACTAAGAAAGTGTTATCCTAAATATAACATTTGTTACATTTGACCACTTTCTAAATGGCATTGTGTGTTCATAGCTTTCGACAATGGGAGCCGTGCCAATTTATACTTGTCCGAGGGGTACACAAAGTACGTGATCTAGACCATCAGTTGTCGGACTTTCGATTTTGTGGAAGCCTCGGTGTCTGAGTGGGCTAGATCGCTGACTTTGTGTGCTGGCGATGAAGTGCCTCACTCTGGCAGTGTGGGTTCGAATACCGGATGGGATTCAACCCCAGATAGTACGAGAAGTTGTACTAAGAAAGTGTTATCCCAAATGGAACGTTTATTACATTTGATCACTTTCGAAATGGCATTGTGTGTTCACAAATCCAGAATATTGACATAATGGTTGTACTCCTGTTGCCCTTTAAATCAAACCTGTCAGATGCATCGGCGCTTTACACTGTTGTTGCATGGGTTATCTAGTACACAACTCGGTCAATATATTGGGTGTTGTTTATTTCAAACAAAACATTAAAACCTAACACACAAAAATAAGAGTTATTACACTGACAGAGATAGTTAGTGAAGTTAACTAACTTCGCGAATTTCACTGTCCACTGAGACACTTGCATGTTTAGACATTTCACTAGCTAGTTAGTAAATAATAGCCAATTAGGCTAGTAGCTGGCCTGTCGTAGATTAGTACTATTTACTGATCAGTTAGTAGAGATTTCTTTCCATCTTTCAACGAATATTTTTCACATAATTTACCAACCGCAATAGTATATTTAGTACGTTTTTTGTGAGTTTTACTACACTTACATAAAGGCTCGTTTCTTGGTTATTCTGCGATCTCACAATTTGCAAAACACAAGTTAACAACAATTGACATAAACAACGCAGGTTAAAAATCACATGTTATTGAGTACATGTCATAAAGTTCTAAATTTTGTCAGCCACAAACAAATTATACCCACAACGTTACAAAGCCAATATATACCTAACGCTCTTATACCCATAATCATCTCCTTGTCAAAAGATGGCGTGCGCGACATGTACACTGAACAATGCGGAAGTGAGGAATGTCATGTGGTCTTGGCGCCTTCTCTCCACACTTCAGTCTACCAGGCAAGACAGTAAATTCGTTGTTTACTAACATTCTGACCGATGTTATAACTGAAGTTAGTAGAATTCATTAGTATTTTTCTCAGTGTACAGAGTTACGGATGGTAATCAGAAAGTGTTGATTTTCATGTAGGGAACCAATAATAGTATCATCAGGCTGTTGTTAGTTCTGTTAAACAACAAACAACAACTATAACCCGACTGGCAGCCGAATTTCTATACTTATGTGACCGCCTCCGTGGTCTAGTGGTAGAGCGTCCGTTCGGAGAGCGGAAGGTCCGGGGTTCGAACCACGGCCGCGTCATATGTATATACGTTAGGAGATGGTACTTGTTGTTATCCTTCCTGGCTATCGACTTTATATCATATGAAAATACGTTAAGAGATGGTACTTGTTGTTATCCTTCCTGGCTATCGACTTTATATCATATGAAAATACGTTAAGAGATGGTACTTGTTGTTATCCTTCCTGGCTATCGACTTTATATCATATGAAAATACGTTAAGTGATGGTACTTGTTGTTATCCTTCCTGGCTATCGACTTTATATCATATGAAAATACGTTAAGAGATGGTACTTGTTGTTATCCTTCCTGGCTATCGACTTTATATCATATGAAAATACGTTAAGAGATGGTACTTGTTGTTATCCTTCCTGGCTATCGACTTTATATCATATGAAAATGCGTTAAGTGATGGTACTTGTTGTTATCCTTCCTGGCTATCGACTTCATATCATATGAAAATACGTTAGGAGATGGTACTTGTTGTTATCCTTCCTGGCTATCGACTTCATATCATATGAAAATACGTTAGGAGATGGTACTTGTTGTTATCCTTCCTGGCTATCGACTTCATATCATATGAAAATACGTTAAGAGATGGTACTTGTTGTTATCCTTCCTGGCTATCGACTTTATATCATATGAAAATACGTTAAGAGATGGTACTTGTTGTTATCCTTCCTGGCTATCGACTTCATATCATATGAAAATACGTTAAGAGATGGTACTTGTTGTTATCCTTCCTGGCTATCGACTTCATATCATATGAAAATACGTTAAGAGATGGTACTTGTTGTTATCCTTCCTGGCTATCGACTTTATATCATATGAAAATACGTTAAGAGATGGTACTTGTTGTTATCCTTCCTGGCTATCGACATGAAGGGGCTAAAACAAGGACTGGTAGACTCGGAGTCAGTACACTGTTTCTGAGTTGGGTATTCATGTTAAACTGTGGAATGGTGTCTCAGTGGGCTAGCACTATATAATCGGCATTAGTGCAATCCGGACAAGTACAAGCAGACACACACACACACACACACACACACACACACACACACACACACACACACACACACACACACACACACACACACACACACACACACACATTATATTTATACATTATTGTATGAGTCTTCGATGAATAATCTTGGATGCGATGTTAATCCTCACCTCACCTCACCTCACCTCACCTCACCTCACCTCACCTCACCTCACCTCACAACACCTCACCTCACAACACCTCACCGACACGCATGTTTGTTAACAGGACCAACAGCCGGATACTACACCATTGAACAAACGCAAATACAGTCGGAAATATATACTATGACCGGATTTACGTATGTTTCCCGATATCAACTAAATATGGGCATTTATTTCATATGAAGCGACCCTTTTGCAACATATGGTCATCGCGCATTGCCGTATGCACAAGGTCCATTGTCATGAATGCTATGACCAGAAGACATTTCCAAACATAAATTCAAAAGATGATACCCCTGTAAATACTTTATCATAGAGTATTCCCAATGCATTCCTTTTAATAGTAATTAGGTGCTGAACTTTCCGACTCCTATCTAAGTTTACTAGGGTTTGAAATATGGATATTTCCTTTGGTTGGAAAACATTTGTAAATGTTCTAGACTATAAGGATTTGTTAACCAATGAGTGGGCCTTTTTGGAAATAATTGGACTACTTATTTGCACGTGTTCGTGTGTTGCATAACTTCATTACAGTGATACAAGTTACAGTAAACGAGATGTTGCACATTTGTGCATTATTCACTGCACTAGACTTCTTGTATGCACGATGCCTGCATCCAGTACGTAAAAATATATCTGTAAAACATTTGCGTACGCAAGATGAAAAATGTCTTCATGGGTATTTGTACATATGCAGCTCAAATTGGTTATGGTGACTTACAAATGTAGTTTGCGTTTTTTACGCAAATAAGCAGCTTAATTATCTGGCACAGATCCCTCCCACTATTATCGGAGAATATATTATACGGGCTCTTCACAAATATACATACACGTGCATATGCAAACATGCTCGCACACGCGTCGTCGTCAAGCACCAGGATAGCCTTGACACATTCCATGAAATCAAGCTCTTATCAAATATCATAAATACATGTGGATCATTTACATGCAACCATTATACACATTTGATTAGTTTGGTTTGTTGTTTAACGCTGCACTCAGCAACATTCCAGCTATATGACGGCGGTCTGTAAATAATCGAGTCTGGACCAGACAATCCAGTGATTAATATCATGAGCATCGATCCACGCAATAGGGATACGATGAAATGCATCAACCAAGTCAGCGAGCCTGACCAGCCGATCCCGTTAGTCGCCTCTTTCGACAAGCATAGTCGCCTTTGACTCGAAACGTGTGTGTACGTGTTTTGTTTATTGTCGCAGCATAAAACGATTGATTTGTGACTACAAAAGGAGTAGCGAAAGGATCGATGACCGATGCAATTCCCTACTTTGACTTGTACCATTTTATTCCCGTCTTATTCCAGGTGAAAACATTGACTTGCCTTTGCACGTGTTCTGGCGGGCCTTCTGGTGACAATCCCTGCACATCTGAGGCGACGACGTACGGTTTGTGAAGATGTTCGTCGAAGGCCAAGGATGCTTCTTGCAGTCACTGTTGCTGGCTGGAATCGATTTCGTAAGTGTGTTGTTCGAATCCAGTTGTCTTGTCGATTTTTGGTTACGCGTGGCCTCC